CAGCTTGAAATTCCTCCTGCTGCTGGTCGAGGTCATTCGAGACCTCCCGGTACTCAGCAACAGCACCCTCCTCCTCCTCTTCTTCCTCTTTCTCCTCCTCTTCATCCGAGGAGTCGAAGATACTCTGATAGGAGTGTTGAGTCCCCTTCTCCTCGCGGAGTGGAGACTTAGAGACTGTACGCTTCTTTGAAGGCTTGGCGCCTTCGGCTTTAGAGCCTCCACTCATCGCTGAAATTCGCTCCCAAGTAAGCTTAGTGAGCGCCCTCGCAATATTTGAATGCCTCTTTTCCCAGCAAGCTTGGATCTTTTTGCTTTCAAGTTCAGCGTTGTGTGTCTTACGCTCGCACATAAGTCTTTTACACTCTTTTCGCCGTTGTCGCCACCGTCGTCGACCTGCCCACAGCGGTCTCATTCGCGCTATCCATGGATGTGGTGTTAACCATACTGTGTGAGCCTCCACATGCAACAGCCGGGCCGCTGTCTGGTCCATTTTTAAGCCTTCTGCGCTCCGGTCCAGCGAGTCTAGGCGTGTCGACCACGTGTGTATGATCTTGTTGTTGTCGACTTGGTCCACCTCGAGTATGTGATGGTTGTCCTCCAGCCGGTCATGTACCCGTAGTACACCCACCTCCTCCTGCTTACCCGCTAGCTCCGGGTAGCTCGCGATCAGGTTCATACAGACCTCTTGAAAAAGGACCGCATGTCCCCCCGTATCAGTAAGTACGGAGACCTTGGGTCTGAAGGTCATCACGCCATTCTCGTCTCGCACAGATCCGCAATGTGTTTCCTCTTTCCCGATTTGATCAGTTTTCGGTAGTCGCTCCACGTCTTCCTTCTGCCCTTGTCATCCCACAACCACACTGATGACAATTCGATCTGTGGTATTCCATCATGCAGGAAGTCACCATAGAGTTCCTTCCTTTTGGTTACCATGGCCGTCATCTTTGCTCTAACTGTCCCTGTACATTGTATTATCAGACCATCGCTCGTCCATCGTGTTCTCAACCCGTGTCGAGGCCTAAGTCGGGTCCGTATTTCCTCTGCGTCCCCTCTTGTCGTGGTAATCGTCGGGCCTTTTCCGGCCATCCACCACTCCACCCACGGCCGTCCTGTTTCCCAGATAGTTCCTCTGATCCCCGCCTTCGGCACCTTGGTGGAGGTGGCAAGATGCGTGGCTGATCCTTGCCCGTTGATCTGTAATATATCACCTACTCGTTGTGTTTGTATTTGTTCTGCTAATCCCCATTCTCCCACCATCGATGCACTCATCGCCATTAGCTCGGTCCAAATGTTTGGTATGCCTAGACCCCCGTGCTTTGTGTGTAGCTCTGCCAGATCTCTTTTGATCCACCCTATTGGAGGAGCGTCTGGAGCTGAGAAGTTCCCGCTCCATACGAATTTCCTTTTTCGCAGATCGGCCTCTGTTCCCAACTCCTGTGTAGGCCAAGCGTGTCGTGCAATGTAGAGCAGCTTGGAGACAATTATTGCCGCCGCTATCTTCGCTCTCTGTTTAACTGTGTTAGTCTTTACCTCAGCCAGAGCTAGTCTGACCTTAATCGCCTGAAAGGCCTTCTTCCATGCGGTTCCGTCATATCGCCGGGCCCTACGTAATGCCCCAGGTATCGTACCTCGTCCGCATCTGGTACAGTCAATGACTCCTCCTCCATGCCTTCTGCTGTGTGACAGAAAGTGTCCACTGCCGCGTTGCTCTCTGGACTTGCGAGCCGGACCGCTGCTGATTTGTAGATATTGAGCAGGAGCCCCGACACATCCGAAAACCGTCTGACCGCCCTCACAGCGTCAGGCTGCATCCGTGAGCTAGCAATATATATTGCGGTATCATCTGCGTACCCTGCTACCTTCAGATCGCGTTCCTCGTCTAGCCGTACTCCCCGTATTGTAGTCGTCATTTCGATTTCGTCATATAATAGGTCCACTGCAATGATAAAGAGTAATGGGGCTAAAGGGCATCCTTGACGGATGCCGCTTGTAACGTTCACTGATCTCGATAATTCTCCATTGGCCATGAACTTGACTGCTGTTTTACTGTGTAGAGCCTGTACAATAGCACAGAATTTTGGCGGGAACCGCTTTCGTTTCAGCACCTCCATCAGGAAGGTTCTATCCAGTGAGTCGTATGCCTTCGCAAAGTCCAGCATGAGCACTTGGGCTTGTTCCAACCCTTCGTTTGAGCTACAAACGATCTTGGCCGCTTCGTATAAGTCAATGGTTGCATGTATGTTCCGTCCTGGGTTGAAGCCAGATTGGTTTTTGTGAACTAGCTTTGTTATGTGACGTCGTACTCTCCATGCCAGTATTCTCGTGAAAATTTTATAGTCCGTATTCAGCAAAGCAATGGGCCTGTAGTTCAGCGGGTTGCTTGTATCGCCCCCTCTCGCTAATACTAAAGATGTGTGCTTCATCAAAGGACGCCGGTGTTGTGCCCTCCGTCATGCAGATGTTAAATAGTTTTGTTAGTATCGGCACGAGGTCGCTCATGTTGTCCCTGTACCACTTATTTCCTAGTTCATCTGGGCCGCATGCCTTGCCTCGTTTGCATCTTTTAATTGCAGCCTCGACCTCTGTTTCTGCAAACGCGTTATCAATGTCGGCTAGATCGAATTCCCCCCATCTCTTCGCTAACCTGTCCACATACGCTGGTATGCTTTCCGGCGCCGCGATTTTGCCTTTAAAGATCGATTCCCAGCTTTCGGCTAACAAGTTTGGCTTGTCATGTCGCTCGACCTGTGACCCCTGCACTCTGCTAACCAGTGTTGGGATTGTATTATCGCCGAATTTTGTACAGATGCGGCAAAAAAAAGAAATGCCGTGTGGATGCCTTTGAGCTCCACACGCTTTTGGTCACAATGACTCTTCTGCGTAAGGCTCGTCGCGCTTCTTGCACTTGGTTCAGTTTGACTAGCAAGGCAGCCCTGGTTTCGTCGCTTGCTCGCTGTGTATATCCACACTGGACAAGGTGTTTTTAAATCCTTTTGATTCTTTGCCTGAACCCGTTGTTCATTCTCCGTCTTGCTGTCTTCTTGAGCTGCGCCATTTCGCTCTTGATCTTTGTCTTGAATGTGTCCCACTCGGTTATCAGCTGCTTGGTGTCGAAGTCCTTCATTTGCTCGTGAAATTCTTGAAGCCGGGTAGTGAGTAGGCTCCGTGTGACCGCTTGCACGTACGCTGGTGCAGGATAAATGATTGCCCTTTTCTTGACACGTTGCTTCCCCAGTGGTGAGTGCAGCTCTAGAAGTACTTCCCTGTGATCGGCCCCACATAGTGATTCCTCTGTCGTCTGCCCCCTGATTAGCTTCTTCGAGTTGACGGAGATGTGCCACCTGTCCAGTCTCGATGAGCCGAATAAATCCTCTCGA